CTTCTACAAACATTCATGAAAGAACGGGACTCTCTCAGGAGCTCAGTGAATTCAAGTATGGTTCTGTGATAGGTTGCCACAAGTGCAATAAGTCCATCCATGAAATTTCCTTGCTACTAAATATTCCACTGACAACTGTTAGTGGTATAGTGGTATTATAACAAAGTGGAAGCAACTGAGAACAACAGCAACTCAGCCACAAAGTGGTAGGTCACGTAAAATGACAGAGTGGGGTCGGCGCATGCTGAAACGCAGAAATTGCCAACTGTCTCTAGAGTCAACAGCTAAAGACCTCCAAACATTGTGTGGCCTTCAAATTAGCACAACAACAGTGCATAGAGAGCTTCATGGAATGGGTTTCCATTGGCCGAGCAGCTGCATCCAAGCCTTACATCACCATGTGCAATGCAAAGTGGTGTAAAGCATGCCGCTGCTGGACTCTAAAGCAGTGGAGACTTGTTCTCTGGAGTGACGAATTATGCTTCTTTGTCTGGCAATCCAATGGATGTGTCTGGGTTTGGCAGTTGTCAGGAGAGTGGTACTTGCCTGACTGCATTGTGTCAAGTGTAAAGTTTGGTGGAGGAGGGATTATGGTGTGGGGTTGGTTTTTTTGGGTGTTGGGCTTGGTCCATTTGTTTCAGTGAAGGGAACTCCTAAGACGTCAGCATACCAAGACATTTTGTACAATTTCATGCTCCCAACTTTGTGGAAACAGTTTGGGGATGGCCCCTTCCTGTTCCAACATGACTGCGCACCAGTGCACAAAGAAAGGTCCGTAAAGACATGGATGGGAGAGTCTGGGATGGAGGAACTTGACTGGCCTGCACAGAATCCTGACCTCAACCCAATAGAATACCTTTGGGATGAATTAAAACGGAGACCTTCTCGTCCAATATCGTGCCTGACCTCACAAATGCGCCGCCTCTGGAAGAATGGTCAAACATTCCCATAGACACATTCCTAAACCTTGTGGACAGCCTTCCCAGAAGAGTTGAAGCTGTTATAGCTGCAAAGGGTGGGCCAACTCAATATTGAACCCTACGGATTTAGACTGGGATGCCATTAAAGTTCATGTGCTTGTAAAGGCAGGGGTCCCAATACTTTTGGCAATATAATGAGCATGTGCAGTGCCTCTACACGATATGTCTTAGCAGGAGATAAGAGGGAGACACTGGAAGAAGAAGAGGCTCAGAGAAGTCAGAATCAAGCAATATTTTTACATAATGCGAAGGATTAACCCCCTAGGTTCCACAGTGAGTATAACAAGCATGCTTTACTGCATATACAGGCTGATTTTACTGTCATGGGTTCAGTAACACTTTAAATAAATGTACTATCATCAAACAAATCATATGACCAGATCTATGAAAAATTATTTTAGGTCTAACAAGCAACACTGCTAACCTTTATGTGCAGGCAAAATAGTTAAAAGACATGTTTCTAAGAATGATAAAACTTGAAGAATTGGTCCAAGAAATTGTAGTCACTGGAAACATTTTTTTCTTTTAATAATCAATAGACATACAGTAGCTGTGAAATACACATAAATAGCATTGTCTGCTTTTTTTAATAGGCTCCCTCTCCCACTTGCTGAATTACACAGTAAAGCCCAACTCACAAATTATAAAATAACTATCCTTGCAGTAGGCACTTGCTCTACAACATTTGAATGCTTGATATCTCCAGTTATCAAGGAATAAGGTGTATTACTTACGTTACTGCTCACTCCAGCAGGCTTCGGTGCTCTCTTGCTGCTTTGGCCTGTGGGTGGTATCTCATCATCCTCATTGCAATGCAGGGCTATTGGCCATGCATTGTACTTTTAGCTGTCATCATGTAATTGCAGTCCAGAGCACTTTTTATAGAAGATGCTTTTGGGAAGAGGTAGCACAGATAAAGGAAGGTGTAAGGTAAGTATTACACCTTGTTCCTCATCTTCCTCATCTCCATTTAACCCTTGTGGTGCAGGAAAACACTGCAAAGGTAGTTATTTTTTCTAATTTTTGGTTATATATTATACCCTTCCCCTGGTTTCTGTTTTCAGTGTCTATGTGAAATTGACAACATCATATTTCCAGCAAGATGCCCAAGATTCGTGAATTGTCCAAATCCCACTATAAAGACAACCTTGCATTTTTTTTCACAAAATTGTATTGTCACCCCCTGCAGTATGAAAGTCAGTGGAAAGGTAAATATAGTATCTATACATGTTCCCCTGCAGGTGTCATGCATGACCTTCCAGGAAGAGAGGGGGAGACTCCCTAAAAAATTGGACCTTGCATGAATTGGCAATAATTATGCATGCACAAGTGCTTAACAGTAATAATGGGATATAATGTTAAACACAAACAAAATGTTTTCACTTCAAAAATGGGACATTGGTGGCTTAGTATGGTGCTTCTCTGGACTGTAATCTATTATATATAATTTGACTGGGAAAACATTATTCTATAAGAACAGCCTATCTCTAAAGATTTTTTCTAAAGGTATATGAGTATTGAAGACAAAATGCTTACAAATGAATGTAATGGGCAGCACAGTGGCTAAATTTTTAGCACTTCCGCCTGGCAGTACTAGGATCGTTGGTTCATATCCCAACCACGGCACCTCCTGCCTGGAGTTTACATGTTCTCCCTGTGCCTGCGTGGGTTTCCTCCAGGTACTCCAGTTTCCTCCCACACTCCAAAGACATGCTGGTAGGTTAATTGGCTCCTGACTAAATTGGCCCTAAAATGTGTATGTATGAATGTACGTTAGGGACTTTAGATTGTATGCCCCTTGAGGGTTAGGGACTGATGTGAATGTACAATATGTGTATGTAAAGAGCTGCGTAAATTGACGGCGCTATATAAGTACCTGAAATAAATAAATAAATAAATAGGCATTTATATGCATAGGTGATATACTGTATGTCTTTTTACAAAATATATGTTTACACATTTTTTAAAAACTTAAAAAAATCTATAACTAGAAACTGTTGTTTTCTCAGTTTTAATCCAGAGAACCATCAGATTCCATACTGATTTGTGATACTGTTAAAGGAAATTCTGCTCTTTTTATGATTGCTACATTAACAGTTTTATTGTTTAAAAGCCATAAACACATAGGGGAGATATAGAGAGCTTCAAGACAGGGAAGATGCTAAAGACACATTATTTGTTCTAACACCTATTGAGTTGGTAGCAGGAAGCAATACAGACACAAGATGTTCACAGAACTCCAGCTGGCCTTCAATCTAATCTCTTTTTGGTGCTGAAGCAGTAAATGAGACCACAGGATCCTCTTTCTTCCATATAACACAATAATACCATCAGCATTTCACTAAAGCAAAACTAATGTCTGGAAATACATTTTAATATTATTTTTTAGTTAAATGGCTGATTAATAATGATGGCCCGTAACCTGCAATGCACATTATATGCAAAATGTTGATGTAAGACATATTTGCGTCTCTGCGTAGTTTGGATAAAAATTATTTTAAGTGTCTGAAAGAACCAGGGTATGAATTTCTCTGGATATTGAGTCATGCATTGAGAAGTCCAAAGCTTGGCTTTAAAGGTAAAGTAGTACAGAAGAAAATGATAAAGTACACATTTTTATGTGAGTTTTGTGTTTTTGGGTTTTTTTTTTGCTGTGTGTGTCTTTGTAGAAAATGTTCTACATGTCCTATCTTGAGACACAGCATTTCTCCAGAAGAATGGAAATACCCATTTAAACAGCTGCCACTGGAAGAAGTGTCTCTATTGTAAGATTTAACCCTCTATTTCTGTTTTACAGATAACTTTTCTCTGGATATTGAGTCTTGCAAAGTCTAAAGCTTTTAAAAGTAAAGTATTAAAGGGGTAAAGGAAAAAATACATGTCGTGTCCCTTTAGTTAGGGGTAGCTAGCTAGGTTTTTTAGTTAGAGGCTGAATAGCAGCCTGGGATGAGTCAGCCTGGATGTGAGTCAGACAGGTTAACGTTATGCCAGGGCTGAGGGCTCAGCAGGTTTGTTCCCTGATACCTTCCCCAGCTCTAGAAGCATGAGAAGTTTCTAAAAGTCAGAGGTGGGGGTGAGGAGGGGCTGATCTGCATGTATGAGGGATCTTGACCAATCACCAAGCCAGAGGCTTGGAATGGGTTCAGAACAGCCCTCATATGTGATTGAGCCTGATCTGCAGGAAGTAGTCAGTGTGTGTCGTGTGGAAGATGTAGTAAGAGGCTGGAGTGTGGAGCCTTGGAGGGGGGCCAGGAGAAGGGCCTACCTCTCAGTCTCCCCATCCCCTGAGAGAGGACAACCTGGGAAGCAGGGAAGGAGCAAGTCCAGCTTAAGGCCTGAAGGCATCCACCAATCCACAAGCTTATAGGAGAGGACTGAGTGAGTAATCCTACACCCCCTGGGCCAATAAGGTGAGAGGGCAGTCAGGTGGCAAACCCAACTAGCTCCTCATCTGGGGCTGCTTTGCTAAAGTGGCAGTTTCTGGGTCCCCTTGCTTAGGGATTCCCTCAGGCAGCTGGGTGAAGTGGAGGATTCATCTGGGGTCTGAGGTGGTACACCAGAAAGGTTAGAGAGCTCTTCAGAGGAGAGACTTTAATTATCTTTATCCACATCTGTACATAGTTGCTAAGGCATTTGTCCCCAAATTTTTACAGTTCCTTTGGCATCCTATATACTCCTCAACCCCATCCAAGTTAAATACCCCCTAATAAAACATACAATTAAACTGAAGGACTGTTTACTGTCTCCAGTGTGCAAGTGTGGAAGAAAACGCATGTTGTCTGGCTGTGCAGGATAGGGGGACTCAGAAACACAGAAACTCTTAGGGGGTAGTGCTACATACACATTTATAAAGTCAACACTTTTTTAGCTCTGGATTTAGTAGACGATTATTAGAACCCCGGCTCTTTTTGTTTGTTGGTTTTGTGTTTTTGTGTGTATTTTGAGTGTTTTTTTGCTTTGTGTCTCTTTGTGTAGATTTTTCTACGTGTCCTGTCTTGAGACCAGGGGCGGACTGACAACTCATGGGGCCCCCGGGCAATAGGGGATCATGGGGCCCCTGTGTCCTTGCCCAAACTCAAAAGAGCCTATGAAAAAGGTACCAGGGGCATCTCATGGGGCTCCCTACTGACCCTGGGCCCTCGGGCAGTGCCCGAGTTTCCAAATGGTCAGTCCGCCCCTGCTTGAGACACAACATCTCTCCAAAGGAACAAGTATCTCTGTTGTAAGATTTAACCTCTATTCCTGTTTCACTTTCAACTCAAAATGTAGAATTTTCTCTGAGTTGTGGTAACAATGATCTGTACAAATATAGAGGGTGAATCAATACAAACCTGATAGAGGTTCCAAGCCTTCCCTATAGTATCTAAAGAAAAAAAATGGCTTCAGATACACTTTAACACATTTCGGAGGTATACATTATGATCCCTATCCATGGACAACAGTCAAGAAAGATTTGTTTAGATATTTTTGTTAATAACTGCTCTGTTTTTCAGCTTTGGACAACTTTTCAGGTTGACCAATATCATGCTATTTTGTTGTTTGTATGTGGTTTTCATATGGCCACTTCTAATATTGTTGCATAATAATGATATTTGGTGATAGCATGGAATACAAACATCTCTTTTATAATTGTTAGAGATTGTCAAAAACATTAATGGTCGTCAAAAGAAATAAAAATCACAACTGGCAATAGAATTTTTGTTTTTATGATGGGGTTGTGGGTGCATTATCTAACTGCAGAACATTTTTACTGTTACGTGCATAAGTATGTATTACTTGAGTAAGACAACAGTATTCAAACCCTGAAGTCTAACAGTTGTGGTCTATTAGGTCAATTGTTGTACCGTGGGATCTGTCAACTTCTGGTCACCCATCACCTATTGAGATATTATACATATGCAGAAATCGTAAGATTCCTACATATAACAAGATAGACAAGTATATGCAGACACATATAACACAGGTGGACAAGTATATGCAGACACATGGAGAAAATGAGAAAAATACCGAATAAAAACAATACCTTTCCAAAATGTCCCAGAAGTGGCAAGTTTAGTGAGGATAAAGCCAACAGAGTAAAAGCACATTTCCAAAAGGGAGCATAAAATGCAGACAGCAGGGAGGCAGTGGAGGCAACAGGACAATTCCAATTTCACATTAAGACACAATTAAAAACAAACATTTACCAGCTTGCCGAAAATAATCCGGTTAATTGTGCATCTTGGGGAGGGTTGTGTTTTTTATCCTCTCCTTTTTTCCCAGAGATAACATCTTTTTATTAGATTGTCTGAGTAATTAGTGGCAAAGCCAATTTGTTTACAACTAGTTGCTGAATGATAATTGGCGTCTCCTGTTTTATGTTGCAGTTTCAAAGTGGAATGCTGTATAGTTTAATGGGAACCCATTGAGTGATTCACAGGATAAGCTTCATTTAGCAAATAGGGCGGAGAGGAGGCAGTCATGTGACAAATTGGAACAATGTTTTAATACAAGCATACTAGATCAATGTGTCATTCCAATTTAAGATTAAGTGGTTTTAGATACTGCTAAAATAGAATCACTGAGTGTTTTGCTGTGCTTTTACTGACTGAGAGTAATTTTCCTGTATGTTATGGAATGATTCTACAAGGCTAGAAGTTGAAATAATTAGCTCTATGTATAATTAATTTCGGAGCGACTGTAAGCATCTGGTGTATTGTATATACTGTGAAGAACAATATGTTTTTTTTCCATGACTTGATAGAAACGTGTATGATTAAAACTGTGTGCAGATGGACTTTTCATCAGGATAGGAATCTCTTTTGCAGGTAAACAGTAACTAAAGCTTGGAAATGTCTGCCAAATGTATTGTTGATATCACAGTTTACTATTGTAGTCTATATACTGTATATTCAGAACGTTATAGGATAGCCAAACAGCACAAACCTTTAAAATAGGGGGGCCATCTGTATAGGGTTCAATTACATTTATATGTTAGACATTTTAGACATTTTTTTTATAGCCACACCATCATGATATAACACAGTACATGGATACTGCACAGTTCACATTTTTAGTACTCTATGTATATCCAGTTGCACTATGCAGAAGACAGCTTATGATCATTTCCTAGGTTGATTGTCATCTATTAAATGCAAAAGTGTAAAAATTTCAACTGTTTCTGGGGTACCTGCTGCTAACACCTGACCTGACAATGGAATTTTGCACCTAAACAAACAAATGTATAATGTTAGCACCTCTATATAATTGATATGAAAACAATTAATATTTTGTTTCACTAGAGGAACTTCCTTTGAATTGGATATTAAAGAGGTGTATGTGTGCATGTGTGTGTATTACCTTAATGGTTTTGGTATAAAACCCTCTTTGCCTAATACCTACCTAAAGCAGATAGGGCTTTCAAGTTCATTTAAAACAATTTATTTTCTTTTTTAAAAATTATTAACCTCTTCACGCTGGTCGTAAGCATATATCCGGGTGCTCTGCAAGTGGGACGTAATGCCGAGGGGCCATGCTCCCAGCATGGTTGCCGACAGGGATCAGTAAGCTCCCAAAGCATACTTGCTATCAGGAGTTGTCCAGTCATGTGACCGCTGTGACAGCCAACCAAAGCGGTTACATGACCCGAATGCTTGCCTCTGCCTCCTAGCTTTTAGAACTCTTAAAGGGCTGGAAGCCAGTCGGCAGGAAGGGGTTAAGTATGAACAGGGCTTTTTGTGTAGGTACTCCCCTGCCTTGCTTACTTACCACAGACAAATACTGTTGGTGTATCCTTGCGACTATAACCACCTGGCCTCCGAAAGGTTTTAACCCCTTTATGACCGCAGTAATTTTTTGATATTCAGCACTGTGCTGCTTTAACTGGCAAATGCGCGGCCATGCAACAATGCACAATTTACATTTTTTTTCACATAAATAGAGCTTTCTTTTGGTGCTATTTGATCACCACCAGGTCTTTGATATAAATGAAAACATTTGGAAAAATATAACACATATCAAACTATCCAAACTATTTTCTTCATAAATTTTCTAGTACATGTCTTTGGTAACAAAAAATATTCCAATAAGTGTATATTAATTGGTTGTCTAAAAGTTATAGCATTTGGAATTTATGCAGCTATAGATATTGTACTGTAATGGCGATGATCAGCAACTTATAGTGTGTCTGTAATAGGGCAGCGAACAATCTGACACTAACAGATTCTATCTGGGAGTGTCACTAAGGGATACTGACATCGCTAGTTATACTAATACAGTGACCAGTGATAATACTGTATACTGACTGTATACTTATACTAATGACACCGGCTGGGAACAGGTTAACATCTGCGGCAATCAAGGGGTTAAATATGTGCCTTGCAATGTGTAATATGTGCTGCTTTTACTTTTCTACCTGGCTGTTTTTTCTCTTTGCTTTACAGGAAAAAGAAGCATCCAGACTGCTGATCAGTGTACAGAGTCTTGTGGATTTATAAATGGACTCATCTTCAATCTTTTCTATATGAGTAGGGTGACCACCACTGGGCAACCTCCACACAGTACACTATAATGGCCTTGCTGCCAGCTTCAGTTAGGGGAAACCAGTACTGAAATTGAGGCAAAAGAAGAAAGCATGCCAGCCAAGTGTAATATCTTAGCAACTTTTTATTAAATAAATAAATCAAATGTCAATGTACTCATGAAAATACACAATCAACTGAAGAAGAGGGCTTTGCCCTTAAAATTTCCCACCCCATGAAATCATGAAAAAGTTTGGTACCCAAAATTGTCCACATGCAATGCTTTAAATGCCTTTACAGGCTATCAGTTTAAAGTTAACCATGAATTATGGAACTAGAATTATGACTTTTACTCTGAAGTTAGAGTTAACCATGAATTATGACCCTAGAAGTATGACTTTTACTCTGAAGTTAGAGTTAACCATGAATTATGACCCTAGAAGTATGACTTTTACTCTGAAATCTATGGTGATGGCTCATATGTGTGGTGCAATCTATGTATACATGAACACTCTATATTCGTTTGCAATTGGGTGTGTAAGGGGGTTCATTTAACCACCTCCCGTCCGGCCGTTGTATATAAACAGCCAGACGGTGGCACTGCAGGGTCGGGTGGCCGTTTATAAACAGCCTCCCTGCACCCTGCTTGTGCGTGCTCCCTGGGAGCGCGCAGCACCGCGATCTGGTGCCCGCTGTGTCCTCTGGACACAGTGAAACACCGATCGTTGAACGGCACCTCTGTATGAGGTCCCGATCATGTGATCACTGATTAGCCAATCAGTGATCACATGCAAAGTAGTAAGCAAGATGTCACTTGTGACATCATTGCTTACTACGTGTGAAATCTGTGAATGATTAAAAGCTTTTAAGGGCAGAGATCACATGGTACAAGGCTATTCACAACAGCCTTGTACCATGTGACAAGCTGTGACCAATCACAGCTCACTCAGTAGTTCTCAATGGCTGCAAGAATGCAGACAGAGAGAAAGAGAAATGATTGCTTTTACATCCTAAAAAACATGCAAAAAAAAAAAAATCTTCATCACCCCCCCACAAGTAGTACAGTGTCACCATGGTGACACTGTACTGTTAGGGTGACAGTAAAAAAAAAATAAATAAAAAATAGAAATATAAAAAATAAAATAAAAATGTAAAAAAAAATGTTTAATAATTATAATTTTTGGTTATAAACTAATTTGGCTTATTTTTTTTTTTTTTTACTAAAAAGATAACGGAATAAATTTTGGCCAAGATTTATGATGAAATATTTATTTGCAACAAGAAAAACACTTTTTTTCAAAATTTTCGGACATTTTCATTTACATAGCAAAAAAAAATTAAAATCCCAGTGAATAAATACTGCTGAAAGCTGAAAATTGGCCTGGGCAGGAAGGGGGTAAAAGTGTCCCGACAGGAAGTGGTTAATTCTTTTATTATTTTATTTATTTGTGTAAGACTTATTTTAATTTAAACTTTTCCTATCACAAGGGGCTAACAAGCATCCTAAGAGCCCCCCCCAAAAAAGTGATCTGGAGCTGTCTGAGTGCTGGCTGAATTCCAAGCTAAACATTTCAGCAGCTGCCCTGAGCTTGCTTTAACCCCTTGAATACCAGAATGTTTGTAAACACATCTTGGTAGACAAGGGGTTAAGAGTCAGTATTAGTGGCTCTACAGGTACTAGCCATAGTGTCAACTAAA